TTTTTACATCTCACTGTTATGCTCCAGCAGCTGGAATTTGTCCACTAATGTCATTTTAGGTCATTCATAATTAAACCAATAAGGTCAGAATTACAAAAACGAACAAAACAAGAAAAAACAAACTCACGTCTGAAGCCTTAAAACTCACAAAACTACAAAATATTCAGAGCACAAACCACTGTACTGCATGTAAAATAATTAGCCTACATCTTTTACATGGCTCTTTATTGCTAAACATCACACACACACACACACACACACACACACACACACACACACACACACACACACACACACACACACACACACACACACTAAAACTTTTGTTTTGTTCCTTTATTTTGTGTTTTTGACTTAACTGGGCTCAGGAAAAATCCCTCCCATATTATTTTGGGAGCAGAAACTCTTCTCGTGTAAGGTGCAGTTTGGTCCACTCACGGATGGTTTTGGATGAACGTGGCTGTGTCCGTGTGGCCATTGCCGCGCGCGAGCTGCTCGGCGGTGAGTCCGTCATTGTTGCGTACGCCGCGATTCTCGGTGTATCCAATGAGCAGCCTGACAACCTCCAGGTGACCCTTACTGGCGGCCAGGTGCAGCGGAAGGTTACCTTCATATGGAGTTATAGGTCAATCAAAACCAGGTGCGAGAAGAAAACAAAGCAGAAGTAAATCAAATCATTTAATTCCGTACCTCTTTCATCTGCGATGTTAACGTTGGCCCCATAGTTTAGCAGCACGCGCACAGAATCCACGAATCCTTCACGAGCGGCATCGTGGGTCACGGTGAGACCGCAGGAGGGATCTGGCACATTTGGATTTGCCCCCGCTTGCAGCAGAGTGTCAATGACCCGGGAGTCCCCCAACTTCACTACCTGCACACACACAGCATGGAGGGAGAGAGAGGATGGATGCGGGAGATAATTTAGGAGAAGAAGAAGCTTTAAGGAGCTGCCCAGGGTGTGCCTGGCGATTATCATTTTTATATGTAAATATTAAATTCATCCCATGACACCAAATCCCAATTTAATGCATTTAATGCTCAATAAGTGTATTGCTATTAATTCATTGGCCCCGCATTGGCCCCGCCTCTCCTCCTGACGTTTCTTGTCGTCACAGGGAAAATCTGCGCCTGCCATTGGACAGCAGCATCAGCGGACCTGTTTCTATTGGTGGCAGACAGGTAAGGACTGCGTCATACAGATAGGTGAAAAACATCTTCACCAGTTCGTCTGGACTCGTGCATGTCAGCATGTATGAATTTCAAAGTTACTATGCATAATTATGAACTCGCGAGCACACGATATGTTGGATGAGCGGTCAACGAGGAGAAGCTTCCTCTCTGAGTGGACCGTTCAGCTGCAGGCCTGCACCCAATATGATCGTTCATATTAAAGCTCGTGTGACACGCAGACAGTGCACGAGCAAAAACAACAACAAAAAAGCACGTTTAAAATCAGGGCACGGGCTGATAATC